TAAACCGTGACATTATACCCTTATGTTTTAATTACCTTCACATGCTGTTTTTGTAGGATTTTAAACCAGAAGTATCTTCTATTGTATTTATGAAATCAAACATTAACTCAATGTTTGAGAGAGAGGGGAGAGAGAGAGCGAATGAGAGAGAGAGAGAGAGAGAGAGAGAGAGACAGAGACAGAGACAGAGACAGAGAGAGACAGAGAGAGACAGACAGACAGAGAGAGAGACAGACAGACAGAGAGAGAGAGGGGGGGAGGGAGGGAGAGAGAGAGAGAGGGGGGGGGGGAGAGTGGGGGGGGGGGGAAGAGTGCCATCTAGGTAATTAAATTTCCGTAATACCACGGATACCACCCTCCATAGCCCCGAGCGACAGGTATATATGAGATGCGTTTGGCGAACAAATTACAAATAGCTATAGCAAACATTGCGGGGATGAATAAAATGTGGTGAAGTTTGATTCGACGAATCTCGGAAGAAAAGAGCAAAATGATTGAAGAAGTCAAGAAGGTGTGATAAGTATTGATTTCAAATTGAAATCAAACTTCACCAAATCTTAAAATGATAACTAGCTAAATAAGTATGCAGTGGCTGACTGGCCAGAACTTTCCACCGGTTGAACTCTGACCTTGTCTGAATCTATTGATCGGAAAAAAGGAATTCAGACCTAAAAACATCCCTTTAAACAATCTGTAGAAATTACAACTTACTAAATGATTTAAATAATTAATAGAAACGCGTTGAAATAAGTACATTAAAAGTTTTAAAACTTTTTACGCCAAAATCTTGTTCTAGAAAGTAGATTTCCTGTTGATCTACTTTCCAGATTAAAGCGTCGGACATACTTAAAGACGATACGATAGGGAACAAAACCATACTAAACACTGAAATCTATCACAGCTGGCGCCTGTGAGAATTACCACGAGCATCTTATACTGAATGTGGTGTCAAATGGACAAATATTGATGTATCGAAGGATGTCTCAAATTTAAGAAAATACAAATACGCCGTTAGCGGGGACGTCACGTCAGTTAGCTAAATTACTATCTCATAGATTGAACATATAGCACTCACTCTCAGGCTTGACAAATTCACATGACATTTATAGATAGATTTTCATATATACGTGTGTAACTTTCTCTTCATTGTTTATAAAAGGGTATCATTAATAATTTGAAAATAAAATATTATGTGATGGAGAGAAACAACTTTGATGAATCAAAACGATCATAAAACTGTGCAAATTCTATAATTACATACGGTTATCTACTTTGAATATGGAATGTAATCAAATACCTTAGTTATTAATATTATTCATCTGTTAGGAGATTAAAATGTGTATCAATTATGATTTTTACTCATCTGTTAGGAGATATATATATATAGATATATATATATTGGTTATGATTATCACTTATCTGTTAGGAGATTAACATATATATTAGTTGTAATTATTGCTTATCTGTTAGGAGATTTCTATTTATATATATTATTTATGATTATAACTTATCAGTTAGGTTACATATATATATATATATATATATATATATATATATAAGTTACAATTATTACTTATCTGCTTGGAGATTTATATATATATACATTAGTTATAAGCATGACTTACCTGCTTAGTGATCTGTATGTCTACTTCTGTAAGTTTAACGTAAGTTAAACAAATACATTGTATTTCCGGTAAATGTGTAATAATTAGATAATGTTATTTTATCGACAAGATCTCCGAGGCTTACATGCATGATAACTAACGGTTGCTAAGAGACAATGTAAGATATACCTATGAGAAATGATTAAATACAACCGCACACAGTATAGTTACAGCATTGTTTTTCTCACCTCCCCACGAGTCGCTAATGTGTGACACAAGAGTATTTAGAGCGGTGTGTTATGCTTGACAAATAGCAATAATGAACTTCATTACCAATTACTATGAAACATGAATACTTATCTTGTTTATCAAGCGAAACGTTTACATCTCAAAGTTGTATCATCGCAACGTTATCAACAAAATTTGGCGTTCAATTAAACATTAATACAACCTATTACACATAGTGGTCACCCTGTTCTTACGAGAATCACATTATGTGCACTGTAGGTGTGACACAGTCAGGTCGCAAAAGTTAAAAATTATGTTGCCTTTCATTTATTAATTAGCTACCAAATGTAATGTATCTGTGATTTAGAACCAACATTGATTTTCCTGGATATATAGATAGATAGATTAGTCCATAGTGTACTCCGAGTTGGGTGGTTCGACGACACGTGTTTTGTGCGGTTTGCGTTTTTAGTTTCAGGAAGTATAGAAATTATCGGTCTGTGCAATAGCTGTTGTGTTCTTTGGCAAGACGATTCGCTCTGGATGACATCCACACACAATGGTATATAAACAGTGAACACAAAGACCTAAATCACCTCATTCCCTTCTCACAGGAACTACCGCTCACTACACGTAGACATACATACTGACAAACAAAATAAACATACGAACAGACAGACAGAGTCATACAGACACACGCAGACGACAAATTTACTAACCTAAATCAAAACAAATAGACAAACAAACAGAGTCATACTAACCTAAATCAAGACAATAGACAGACATACACAGTCATACTAACCTTAATCTAGACAATAGACAGACATTCAGTCATACTAACCTAAATCTAGACAATAGACAGACAAACAGAGTCATACTAACCTAAATCAAGACAAACAGGCCGAATTCAGTCATACTAACCTAAATCTAGACAGACAAACAAAGCCATACTAACCTTAATCTAGACAATAGACAGACATACACTCATACTAACCTTAATCTAGACAATAGACAGACATACACTCATACTAACCTAAATCTAGACAATAGACAAACAGAGTCATACTAACCTAAATCTAGACAGATATACACTCATACTAACCTAAATCTAGACAATAGACAAACAGAGTCATACTAACCTAAATCTAGACAGATATACACTCATACTAACCTTAATCTAGACAATAGACAGACATACACAGTCATACTAACCTAAGTCTAGACAATAGACAGACCGACATTCAGTCATACTAACCTAAATCTAGATAGACAAACAAAGTCATACTAACCTAAATCTAGACAATAGACAGACCGACATTCAGTCATACTAACCTAAATCTAGACAGACAAACAAAGTCATACTAACCTTAATCTAGACAATAGACAGACATACAGTACCATACAGACATAGGCAGATGACAAACTTACTAACATAAATCAGTATCTAAAATTATTAAAAGAAAACGTTTATCCGATTTAATCATTTCAATGTGGTATCTGAATGTAAGAAACTCATTTCAATTGTTTCTTTCTCTAGATAGTGTATATCAAAAATATTTTATTTGTATACATAATTATGACGTTTATGAATACAGAGACATTTAAGTGTCTCTACAAATTATTGTCTCTAATTGGAAATCAACAACTTCGCTTTTTTTGTAATTTCTCTTTTATCCTTTTCCAGTACTTCAAAGACAAGAAGAGATGATTTGTATTTTTTTCTATCTGTACTCAGTCACAGAAAAGATGATCTGTATTTTCTATCTGTACTCAGTCACAGAAGAGATGATCTGTATTTTCTATCTTTACTCAGTCACAGAAGAGATGATCTGTATTTTCTATCTTTACTCAGTCACAGAAGAGAGGATCTATATTTTTATCTGTACTCAGTAACAGAAGAGATGATCTGTATTTTCTATCTGTACTCAGTCACAGAAGACGTGATCTGTATTTTCTATCTGTACTCAGTCACAGAAGAGATGATCTGTATTTTCTATCTGTACTCAGTCACAGAAGAGATGATCTGTATTTGATCTGTATTTTCTATCTGTACTCAGTCACAGAAGACGTGATCTGTATTTTCTATCTGTACTCAGTCACAGAAGACGTGATCTGTATTTTCTATCTGTACTCGGTCACAGAAGAGATGATCTGTATTTTCTATCTGTACTCAGTCACAGAAGACGTGATCTGTATTTTCTATCTGTACTCAGTCACAGAAAAGATGATCTGTATTTTCTATCTGTACTCAGTCACAGAAGAGATGATCTGTATTTTCTATCTGTACTCGGTCACAGAAGACGTGATCTGTATTTTCTATCTGTACTCGGTCACAGAAGACGTGATCTGTATTTTCTATCTGTACTCAGTCACAGAAGACGTGATCTGTATTTTCTATCTGTACTCAGTCACAGAAGAGATGATCTGTATTTTCTATCTGTACTCGGTCACAGAAGAGATGATCTGTATTTTCTATCTGTACTCGGTCACAGAAGAGATGATCTGTATTTTCTATCTGTACTCGGTCACAGAAGAGATGATCTGTATTTTCTATCTGTACTCAGTCACAGAAGACGTGATCTGTATTTTCTATCTGTACTCAGTCACAGAAGAGATGATCTGTATTTTCTATCTGTACTCAGTCACAGAAGAGATGATCTGTATTTTCTATCTGTACTCAGTCACAGAAGACGTGATCTGTATTTTCTATCTGTACTCAGTCACAGAAGACGTGATCTGTATTTTCTATCTGTACTCAGTCACAGAAGAGATGATCTGTATTTTCTATCTGTACTCAGTCACAGAAGACGTGATCTGTATTTTCTATCTGTACTCAGTCACAGAAGAGATGATCTGTAAGTCACAGAAGACGTGATCTATATTTTCTATTTATACTCGGTCACAGAAGAGATGATCTATATTTTCTATCTGTACTCGGTCACAGAAGAGATGATCTGTATTTTCTATCTGTACTCAGTAACAGAAGAGATGATCTGTATTTTCTATCTGTACTCAGTCACAGAAGAGATGATCTGTATTTTCTATCTGTACTCAGTCACAGAAGACGTGATCTGTATTTTCTATCTGTACTCAGTCACAGAAGAGATGATCTGTATTTTCTATCTGTACTCAGTCACAGAAGACGTGATCTGTATTTTCTATCTGTACTCAGTCACAGAAGAGATGATCTGTATTTTCTATCTGTACTCGGTCACAGAAGAGATGATCTGTATTTTCTATCTGTACTCGGTCACAGAAGAGATGATCTGTATTTTCTATCTGTACTCGGTCACAGAAGACGTGATCTGTATTTTCTATCTGTACTCGGTCACAGAAGAGATGATCTGTATTTTCTATCTGTACTCGGTCTGTATTTTCTATCTGTCACAGAAGAGATGATCTGTATTTTCACAGAAGAAGATGATCTGTATTTTCTATCTGTACTCAGTCACAGAAGAGATGATCTGTATTTTCTATCTTTACTCAGTCACAGAAGAGATGATCTGTATTTTCTATCTGTACTCGGTCACAGAAGAGATGATCTGTATTTTCTATCTGTACTCAGTCACAGAAGACGTGATCTGTATTTTCTATCTGTACTCGGTCACAGAAGAGATGATCTGTATTTTCTATCTGTACTCGGTCACAGAAGAGATGATCTGTATTTTCTATCTGTACTCAGTCACAGAAGAGATGATCTGTATTTTCTATCAATACTCGGTCACAGAAGACGTGATCTGTATTTTCTATCTGTACTCAGTCACAGAAGAGATGATCTGTATTTTCTATCTGTACTCAGTCATAGAAGAGATGATCTATATTTTCTATCTGTACTCGGTCACAGAAGAGATTGTCTGTATTTTCTATCTGTACTCAGTCACAGAAGACGTGATCTGTATTTTCTATCTGTACTCAGTCACATAAGTGTGATCTGTATTTTCTATCTGTACTCAGTCACAGAAGAGATGATCTGTATTTTCTATCTGTACTCGTTCACAGAAGAGATTGTCTGTATTTTCTATCTGTACACAGTCACATAAGTGTGATCTGTATTTTCTATCTGTACACAGTCACATAAGTGTGATCTGTATTTTCTATCTGTACACAGTCACATAAGTGTGATCTGTATTTTCTATCTGTACTCGGTCACAGAAGAGATGATCTGTATTTTCTATCTGTACTCAGTCACAGAAGAAATGATCTGTATTTTCTATCTGTACTCAGTCACAGAAGACGTGATCTGTATTTTCTATCTGTACTCAGTCACAGAAGAAATGATCTGTATTTTCTATTTGTACTCAGTCATTGATTGATCTAGTGTGTTCACCAACCTATCTTCCACTTAAAAAGCCAGTTTGTCTTTCTGAAATAATGTTATCATGAAAAATTTTAGTCTTTTGACTGTACATGCTGATGCTGGTTGGTTATTTGTAAAAATCCTGTACCTCAATAAAGATGGCATCTTGACTTGACATTTCACTATTGTCTTTTTCAATTTTAACTATGGCTTTATTAACATAATTGTAAGCAAAACTACTTTTGAACGAATCATGTGTCCTTTAATTTTGTCTTTTTTTTATTCAGATAGATCTAGATTCGATGCCAACGTATTGTTACCTTCAAGTTGTTCAAAATCTAATTTTAATTCCTCATCTATCACTGTCTCAGGGCAGCACCGCACATGCGTATAACCACGTCATGTTGAACTGATAATGGGATGGCTGTTCGTACTGCAATCAAATTTAAACCTGAATGTCAAGAGGATTACTGTAAGTAGTAAAGATTGAAAGGACTTTAACAAGGTCGGAATTCATAGACTTACTTAACAAATGTCGTGACATACGGTGTATTGATAAGACAGGTGTTAAGACAATAATGAGAGGGAACAACAAAATCCCACTGTCAATATCATGTGACCGGTTGGAGCCTCATGTTACAACTCCGTTTCAGTAACATTTGACATTTCAATGTGATCGCTCTTCAATAAAAACAGTCTGCTGCAGGATCTTCGGATCTTCTGTGGAATTTGTCAAATATCTTTTACTTGCAACTGAGTCAGCGGGTTCAAATACAGAATCATGCATGCACATTTTTCATGGTCTAGATGTTTCAAATCAAGTTTGTTAATAATTTAACCCGGTACAGGATTGAAAAAGAAGCTTAGATCTACAATTGAGATATTTTCCAGGGTATGATAATAGTTATTATACAAAAAATATCCGTTCTTCTTCTTCAGAAAATTAAAGTATATTTCACATATATCTCTGCAGCAAATCACTTCTAGATTGAGTGGAATACCTTCCGCAGTAGTAGTGGACAATGAAGAAATCACAAACATTATTTTTTATATATGCTTAGAATCAGAAAATGTATAATATAGGTATCTTCTTTGCACTTCAAATCACATATACTCCTAATAGGGTGTGTTTGTATTTGAAATATAAACAAGTCAATATTGCTGGTGTTATTTTGCCTGATTTTCACCAATGATAAATAACCCAACATCATTATAATGATACAGATTGATAAAACCCCTCCAAGGGAAAGACAAAATATGTTTATTATGAAACAATAACATTCAATTGTAGTAAACGAATGAAGGGAGTTAACTCCCAAATGTTCCAACGACTTTGATGCCGCATGTTAGTGTGATTGTTTTCAGTGCCTATGAAAAGTTCGTCTTTCGTTTATTCGTCTAGCAGTTTGAGATTTTATCCCCGATATTTCTAATGGAGAATAATTGACTCGACAACCTTTTGATGCCAATTATCATTAAACATCGACAAAGCTATTTCCTCTGTTACAAATGGTGATGTGCATTTACATATTAACATCGTGGCGATTCCACTTTTCTGGACACTGAAGGAACAATATTCACAATTTCCTATCCCAAAGCGTCTGTTGTATATATATGCTTTTCTGTCGGAGATATTGGCAGATTCTTCATTCATTAACACTGGCAAACAACAATTTTGTAATCTTAGACTTTGTCTTACTGTAAGAAATACGTTATTAGTATTTAGGAATTGTAACATATGAAGCCATCCGCATAGGTAGAAGAATTAACGAAAACCTCTTTCTCAAAAGGCAAAGTCCTTAAATATTTAGACCCATTTTCATTTTCATCAGGCACCTCCAAGGACGGAACAGCTGTACGTCTCTTATCGTTGTTTGACAACGCTGAATTTAGTTCCTACTTTGTAGTGAGCGTAACTATTCAATTGTATAGTTTGTACAATCTTTGCAGGATATCAAAATATTGACATTTTCTGTGACAAGTAGACGGCAGTGAGGTAGTGTCATTAGATCATCAGAAGGGAAAGGTCTTTGAAAGGGTGAGAAAATATGAAGATTCGGCTTGTACGAACATGCGACGGAGACATATTTTATTCGTTGTGTATATACATAAAAGAATAGAATTAACTAGATATCTCTGTGGAAGAGCGACATAGCCTTGCCAGGCAATGACAACACAATAGTACACTCTTTAGCATATATACATATATATTTACGCTACATATACATATAATGTACACCACAGCTTACTTAAAACATTCACACTCACGCCCTCACAGAACACTTATATATGATATACAGATTCTATAAATGTACCGTTTACTCTTTCGTCCTCTTTATAACCAACTCTTCCGGGTTGACTTTATATATCTCAATTTGTTACCTTCAGGGCTTCTCGGGTTTCCATGTTATCCATGCCCTTCAATTTATATTTATGTATTCTGGTTTTTTTTTTTTTTTTTATAATAAATCACCTCTAACCTCAATATGTGAGGGAACATCAATGGTCTCAGTATTAATACCAATGTCATAACTTGCTTGTTCAGAATTTAACTTCCTCCTAACAATCGAAATAAACTAGGAAATTATCGAAGAAACTAAATCAAAATGAACGCCTTTGTTAGTCTTTTACAAAGATTACAATTTTAAACAGCATCAAGTCGTATATCCATCTAATCACATAGTTTTCGTTTTAGGTAATCATACAATACATTTTAGTACATCAAACATCCTTTCCCCCCTGAAAATGTGTATGCACTCACACTCACACGCACACGCACACCCTCATATACACACTCACCCACCCATCCTACCACCCACCCACCCTACCACTCACCCACAGATTCAAACCCGACCAAGATTAAGATAAAATATTCCTACTATGTTTTATCCGTCGTCGTCCACTTCATAAACTTCTAATGAGGGATTCAGCTCAATCTTGTCTTGTTTGATTCTGAAATGATTTTGGCCATGTGCTGTTTTTGATTTGGTTCGAAATCCAATATGGCCACCATCATAAAAACATGTTTCAAAATTGTCGACCTTGTCAAAACTTCAATAAAGCTGTGATGACAGCTATGTTGTGTATTGATTGCGCAATTATGGTTTTCCTCAACACCACATTTTTTTTATTTCTCAAGCATCGCCAGTTATATTTAGTCCAAACTCCCTGAAATGACCCCGAGTCGGTCCTAACCAAATATTGTTATTTCGGGTCGGTCTGGCCTTCATCGTGAAATACACATTTTAGAATAAATTGTTTGCGTCTGCGATAATACCATTTACAGTTCTTTACAGTCAGATGATCGATGAAGCCCAAAGGCCTCATGTTAGCACTCAATACTGGGACATCGTACGGAAGTCGATATTATTTCATATTGTAACTTGTCTACAATACGGAAATAACCATTAAATTAAATGGATTTATGAGAAATTATTTTGCACTAAGCAATGTAATTGTAAACACAAGAGTTTTATGTGACGAATGAAATAATAAGATAGCGATAAAGACATTTATTTTAGTGTGATTCCACTTTAAAATGACCATTCAGGACAGTCTTATTGCAAAAACATATGAGCAAATCGATGTATCGATTTCCGCTATCTTCTTATTTGTTCTTTACTGCAGGCGTAGCACTTGTCGATCGAGGTCGGTGAGTTCACATATATGTTGCTTATTCACGCTAATTGAGTTCAATCTTCGATCTGTGATAAGTTCAAGCTGAATATAGAACTATCTAGCTAGGCAAAGATAGGGTCTTCTCAACTTCCAGCCACAACGGTCATTCAGCAGAGGTCACTATCTTAGGTGCCTTATGCTGACTTTGGTCTAATTCCCTTTCTGAACTGCAACTATCATGCAGACACATTTATTAACAAGAGATTGTTGCTCAATACAGCTCAGTTATATTTTATTATCTCACCTGTAATTTAAACTCAGAAAGGGACCTTTTTCCCCTATTAAAGAACAGTTCATTCAATTAATTTATAATTACTTGACCTTAAAATCCATAACCATATAAAGAATGCTTCACTTCTTCTATCTAATACATAATCTGTAACTGACCAATTGCTTCACGATCTTGGCTCAACCTCATCACCACATCACTCATTAAAATGTTGTTACACGGTGCCATAATACACCCCAAAAAGACTCCAGCTCTAGGACTGAACTTAATGCGCAGGGGCTCGCAATTATGGTGTCTGAGACAAGACTGTCTCTGTCCGCATCATTCAAACACATTCGCTTTAACCCCTTCAAATATGTCATTCTCTGTCTCACACCTTGTAAGACTGTCTAGATTTCACACGACCTAGCTGTACAGCCGCCAGTCATTCTCTGCCTCAGTCTGTCCGCCGGCGAGTTTCCATGACCCAACCAAGTTACCACAGACTTAAAGGAGGTCAACTTTGATCACAGGCAACCTTATTTTCTGCATGCTTGAATATAATTTCAGAAGTTTAATTGTATCGTTGCATTCTATTGGGTATTTTAATGAATCCGTGCTACAGCTCGGTACAAAAATTGAAGGAGGAGCTACAGAGTTAAGGTTTCATGGCTTGAATTTTACAGTGTGATATTTGTAAATGTTGACTATCTTCTTCTAAATTCATTGCACTTTTCACTAATTCTGTTCTCAAAAGCAAACTTTCTTCTCACCCCGGCCTGATTTTACCATATCACAAAATATTGTTGTATATTTTTCCAATAAAAGTTTAGCATCAACTGGTATAAATAAGCAAGAGCGAGTAGCAACGTACAAAACTTGTAATCATTTACTGTAGTACTTACTCCTGTATTAAAAATACATTAATCCCATTATCATTCAGTTTGAAGTTGCCAATGTATTGTTAAGCATTTCAGTAATTAAATAGGAATGAAAAAGTAACAGTTTAAGCGAATATTTACTACATGACTGAATAAAGTAAGATAAAAAAAATTACACGCGGTACTGAAAGCATGTTTTTCTATCCGAGTTGACACTGGAAAAGGGATCGTTGTCATATTCGAGGGAAATTCTTGAAGTTATCATTAACGAAAACAATAAATGATTAATATTCACCAAATCTGAAACCTTTTATATGCAGCGTTCGATTGACGTTATCAATTGTAAGTTTTGTTTTTGCTTTCGTTTATGTACTATACCTTAGAATAATGATGTTCCGATGAAGGAACCAACACTTGGGAAATCCAGTCTTCGTAAAGAATTATGAAGAAGCACGAGATTTATGTATTATCAAAACATTACTTAGACCTCACCACGTTGTATTCCAACGTACAAAACAATGCCAATGCATAGGTGCCTGATTTCATATTTAATGAATGTATTGTGATACCTGCGCCTCATTCACCGAGAGCACTTGCGAATTTAAGTTTTAATTACATGTATTATTTTTTCTGCATACATTTATAATTTCTATAACAATTCTGGTCAAGAAAAATTACCAACAGTATGTCGAGTGAACATATAATCACTGTACATATATTTTCATCAAGAGGTTAATACTCCCAGGCGTAACAGAGTCGTTCGTGTTTTGATGGCATCACATCTACTCGTACCTCAAATTTAAATTATATCCAGCAAGTTTTTCCTTGATCATTGAATCAATCAGTTCATTCTGTGCAACAGTCAGCTCGTTTTTCCAATCTCCGATCACACCTACAAAACAAATGTAAATGTTAAAGGGCCAGACCCACTCCATTATAGATATTTTTTCATATTTTATTGACTGGTGACCGGAAATGTTGTTGTATACCAATAGATAATATATAAATAAAGACTTGTATAAAGTTTCGAACTTGAAATTGAAAGGGTACGGGAGATATCGGTGCCGGAGTTAGTATCATTAATCAACATCAGGATATGAATATTGATGAGGAAAAGTCAATGCTTAGATATGACACAAAAACGTGCAGATTACGATGAAAACTACGATTAATTGCAAAGAGGCCCTCAAATGGGGGCTACGATACGGTAACGAACATACAGAACATCGCAAAAAGGATCTATCTAAAGCGAATATTCGATGATAAGAGTATTTATGAATATGATTTTAGAGTGATACTACACGAGAGAGCAAAACAGAGTGTGATACAGAGTATGAACCAGCTATCTTCCTTCTTTTCACCTCAGATTCCGTTAAAACACGTTTTCTTCCTCGCTTCCCTCAAACGCTTTCTGCCATGTTGGAGGACGGTAGATTTATTTACAGTTATTTGCGCATGTGTCAGTGGGTAGGACTTCCCGCATAATAATGAATTAGCACCGAGTCGTTTCGAATTCTTATTTAGAACTATTTATTGCGTTAGATTGGTAGCGATTTACTTTAAAATTGCGGTATTTCAGGATTAGTCAGAATTTTTGCTACCCGAGAAAGATAGAAAATCATGATTTTTTTATATGAAATAATATCGGTCGAGGAGTGGGTCTGGCTCTTTAAAGAATGCATGCTCGGCTGCAAGTACAGTAGCAAGCCATCCCATCCAGTACTATTGTCTTTCTGGTCTTTGTAGCTTACTAATTTTGCCCTATTTAGCAATGAACAACAATAGCAGTCCCATAAGGAGATAAATACAGGACATTTAAACTATCAAAAAAGAAAAACACACACTCGCTGATAACACTTTCACTAATCTCGCATACACTGATATGCAACCGTGAATGACTACAGCTGTTCATAGGACGTTGCATAATATTAAACCAAAGCAATCCACAAAACACGTACACTCTAGACATGCACGCACCTCGCATACAGCAGAAGGACTTTATCGAATTACTTAAGATGTTGATAGAACATTGATCAACATCAGTACGAAAGCAATTGCGACCAAAGTAGCTATGTGTGAATGTGAAAAGTGACATTTTCCACACAATAACGTTTTACTGGTAACGGCTTAATCGGTGTTTACCGGTATTAATTCAAAGTTGAAGCAAGTAATGTGGAACGTAATTTTTTGATGTCTTCATAATATAATTGGAAAAGAACTTATGACGTTCTTATACGATAACAAAATACTGACCTTTTCTATAAATGGGTAGACGTCCATCCTTACAAATGTCTTTCCACCGATCAACGGCTCCAGCGTCTGTTTCATGTGCAGTCTTTAAACTTTGAAAGGAGACAATGCTTTCTACTTCACGGAGAAACTTTTCATCATTGCGTGTGCCTAAAAACTTGGATATTTTGCTCACTTCACTGTAAAGATCCTGAAAAGATAACATATTTTGTGAACAATGCGACTTACTAGCGAAACCTACAATAACATCTGCGTCTTGTAACATAACAAAATATCGTTATATAGTTCCTATGTATTGGGCGAATTCAATTGTCGATGTTATAATGTACTTATTTGTTCTCTGTCTATGAGTATTCATCAAAGATATATACCGCTTTCAGATCTTCGTACCACACCGTATGGACTTGCATATTAGGATTGTTGGCTTTTCCGTCCGTCCATTCCTTTACATAGTTAAACCATGATGCGGACATGTAGACTGAAAAAAAATTGCTTTCTGTATTGTTTACATTGTAAATCATAATCATACATCATAACTATTTCAACAAATAATAGAACACGACATGGAATTATCTATTAAGATGACTATCGAAATCCAAATTGGTGTTTTCGAATTAATTGCCATTGTTAATTCCTCTTCACAAGTGTTGAATATTTACTATAACAATTTGTAGTAGACTTGCAGTAATTCTATTCTTACATTCATCCGACAAGAAAAATCGAAAAAATCCATCCATGTTTCCCGCATAGCCTATATTCACCATGGAACTAAAGAATTTCCAAGCAGAGACAAACGTATCTTTTGGATTTCTCAGCACGTTGATGACTTTTCCTGTCCCTGCCTTGACAGCTGCTGGGATGAAAGGGTAGGAGAGATGTGTGCAGATAATGCGTTGATTTTTATCCTCGTCGGCAGTCGTCAAGTCATGGAATTCCAGAGTTAAAGGTCCTTCCAAATATTTCGACGATTCAGTGATTAAAGCATTAATAATGTTCCCTACCCAGTGAGAGCCTGAAACACAAAAATATAATTATCTTAAGCACTTGTTCAGCAGTGTTACCGATTATAATTAACACATTTTGTCAGCATATATCAAACGTCAAATAATTTGAACAAATGATTCACAATTGTCTGAATAATACATCTTGCAACCCTCTAGTATGGATGTGTTAGAAAACGGTTCACTGTTTTCGTCCGTCTGTCATTTTGATTCCTAATGTTATATCTCATCAATTAACACATGTATCCTGTCGTGTTTTATTTCAAAAGTAATGCAATCCAATTATCGTTGTGTGGATATTGCTTATAATCCGTTTTTATCCCGTTCGAAAAGCATATTATTTTTTTTACTGTATGTTTATGGATTCGCAATAACGATTGATAACGATTGACAAAAGGGACACTCAAAATCCAACAATAAAACTCAAAGAAAAAAAAGAATTTGGGATTGAGTCGTATGTTTATCGCCCTATAACACGTAAGTTTTCATGTTAAATCTATTTGGTCAAGTGCTTTAGGATCTGCTCTGGTGACGTGGTCGAGTTGTGAAGAGCTCTGGTGTAAGGGAGATAACTTTGTCATCGAGGCGAAGTGACGTAAATGGGAAGTTGATTATTTTGACTTAAAATGTTATTTTTGTTTAAAATCATCACTTCAGCATAGAAAAAGATTTTTGTTTTGTTTAAATCATGCAAAATTGTAATGTTTACGACATAAGTCGCCCTGTGACTGGCAGACGATTAACGTAAACAAAACCACGCTAATGCTGTCAAACAACAGGGTAGCGTGACTAGATCAAGACATGTCCACAAGAATTATGTACACGCAAACTATAGCCGGGTTTTGGTTACTAACAACAGTTACTTTGTGCCTGTAATGCGAAGAAACTCGATGTGAAGAGGTTACACAGAGCTGAAAACTATCCTGTTTACTCGGTCTGAGATTCGTGATTGCCGGTCCAACGTCGGTTATTTGATTCCAATCATCATTGTTTATATATAGTTGATAATGACCATTTGTATACCAATTCATAATCAAGTCAATATAGTGACTATACAGAAGAAATCACAACCAAATGTACAAGACATGGGCAGAAAATAGATGCACTGTTGAGCTGGTGTAGATGTATGTTCATGTTTGCCCTCTAGATCCGACAGACATGCTGTCCTGTCTATATAAAGGTATGTGTCAGATAGATGTAAATCGTATGACATTTGACTTTTCATTCTAATCCCTCTACCTCAATAATAGTTCCTACTGAATCCCCCAAAATCACTGTAAAAATCACATGACACACTCGTGCATAAATGTAGGTCTACTGTTCAGTCATAAAGGTATACAAAATTATATCCACTACTACCTTTAACATATAGGAGTATGTTAGAATTTACTTTAGTCAAAACTATACATGTGGATTGAAAAGATAAATAAATACTTAGGAAAAATTAATATATATGCAATGTTGCAATGTACTCTCCAGTAGGCTCTGTGTTGGCTTGTTTTAGTTTATTATGTTTTTGACAATAGCAATGTCGAAATTATTTCATATATAACAAAGATTGGTACATTTGTATGTTATAATCTTGTACCTCAATGTATTGTTTACTTAGTTTCAGGTTCCATGTTAAAATAATTATACACTGTCAACATTAATGTTCACACACACAATCAAAAGACACAGCAGGATATGGGGTGCATCAGGTATTGTCACCAATTATGTAATTGTGTTTTTTGTGAATAAAACTGGTTTTACGTGACAATTTAAAGAAATTGAAATCTGGAATGTACGCTGTATATTAGAAAATAATTAAGATACAATAGAGATACAAGGAGCAATATTTCCTATTTTTTAAAAAAAAATCTTCAGGAAAATGACTAACAATTTTCATCTTTCAATATATGTTAAACTCGATAACGATTAAAGAAAGAAATTTCAAGACCAAATCAAATTCAAATTTTATCACTATATTTGAAGTGGTGAAAAATGCTAATACTCACAAAATAAACAAACGTTTATATGGTATATTGTTTTGAAAAGTACAACAGCGTATCCTACTTATGTACACGCACAATGTGTATCTACCACAAATATTTGATTAATATATTATATAAATCAGCAGTTCAAACTGCCTTAGAGTTAATTTTGATATTATAAAATACGTACTAACTATTCTCTCTGTATGTCTCTCTGTGTATATTATGTGTGCCTCATATGTATGTACTGTCATGACTATGTCACCGGTCAAAGCACGTGACAAGACCAAACTACGCAAATGAAATTTAATATTCATTAACCACTTATTTGATACATATTTTTAACAGGCAGACTGACCAAAGTAGTTTGTTTATTACAATAGTCGCTGTCTAACCATCGCTTATGAAATGATGAAAAAGCAGACATACAAGACCTCCTCCCTCCCTGCAGTGAGCTCACAATTAGCAGAAACTGATTATATTGTGTTGTACTCATGCAGCGAGATGCATTAACTAGAAAATAGACAGATGGGAATGTATGACAAAAGAACTTAATCTTTTAATGTTGAATACAAAAGCCAGACTTTAAAATTCATTCCATTAAGAAGGACTTTTTACCCAGTATTGTTTTGCAGCCATCTTTTCATACATGCATATTGACTACTTAAAATATTTCATTTTAACTACAAAAGTTTAACTTACCGGATTTTGGAAAGGTGCAGAGGAACACATCATCAGGTCGGACTTTGAAAGTATCCACCATTCGGAGCTGGTTTCCAACATCTCCGAACGTTTGCAAGTGAAATGCTCTTCCTTTGTATTTTTTGTATTTAATCTTGTTTCCTTCATAGTCTGTAGTCTCCACAATTTCCATGTTGCCCAGTATCTTACAGTGTTATGTGTGGAGTCACCGATAGCACTTTAAACCCTATCAGAAGGTTGATGTCTATATATCTTGTAAAAAAAATATACAAAAAAATCCTTAAGTTTAAAGTTCTATGCTATGTGTTATTATCGACAACGACGAGATGATACTGGAAGTTTGGGTTGTATCTCTCTCGTATATATATAGTAGTGACACACCTACACGTTCTAATCATAAGGTAAATTATCAAATCATATTAGTATTTATGGGTGTATGTGGAGGAATATATATATATCTTTGTGTGTGTGTATATCACGTAGTCCCAAATTGATCATGTGTCATAGTATTTGTAAACAAAGTCAAATTGTATAGGGCACATATATGCAATCTGTCAGCATTGTTATCAATCTATACTTCTTGATCGCGCTGGTGTTTAACCAGTAAACTCTATCATGGATGAAACTGTCCAGTAAATACATGATGTTGCTGGTACTGAAATACAATACATGAGGTAACTGAAGTAATAGGATGTGTTTGTATAGGTATTTGGGAGGGGCAGGCATGTATTGAGGGCGATGATGGAAAAGTTCTCCAAGTTGTATGATTTACACAAATTATGTATATGTCTATACAGGTACATACAAACAAATTATAAATATTGATAAATATAATGTATCAATAGTAGCAGGGAAATCTTTTTATCTTTCGTGAAACGCTTATGACAGTTAAATATGGGAACTAACTGTAGCTTGTCGAGGTTTATCAGAATGCATTAAAAGACACACCAATGAATAACCTTTTAATAGTAAAGTTAGATACAGCAGAGCCACACAATGAATATATTAAGTGATTCTTCATTGACAGCACAGCAGACTGATGACAAGGAATACAGCTTTTCACTGAAAGTGATGAACAACTGGATTTTTTTACCAGATGAAATTTTTGTGTGCTGAAACTTCTTCAAATCTGCAATCCACGAACATAGGAAAGAACTGAGTATGACATTTATGCTTTATTGCTTCTCGACTGAATACAGCTAACAAGAAATCAGCCAAAAGGCTCAGAGAAACTCCCCAGCCAACTCGGAAGAGCTCAACGACAAGTGAAAAGTAACATGGAAAGAAGAATACTTAGGTCAATATATATGTGTGTGTACAGTATGCTAGTGGATGGCGAATATCAACATTTGTTTAATATTTGCAGAAACGTCAGGACGAAATCTACCAACAAAAGCATCAATTGTCGACTTTTATCTTGATTGACATCACTTGTATTTTGTCTTCACAAATTTTATCGAACCATTCATTTTGAGCAACTGTAAAAGTATTTTTTCATTTTTCAATTTGGCCTGGAAAGAAAAGCAAAACATATGACTATTAATAATGAACGAAAAAAGTTTATTTGTGAAAGGATGCTGTATATCATTCAATATACGAGTTTTTTTATCACTGAAATATCAACTTTTTTCATTTTACTCCCGTAAAATAATTGAAACGTACTATTCCGATGTCGTTCTAAATACTTTTGAATAATTGATTTATTTCTTATCAAATAAGCTTTGTGTAATTAAACATGATGTGTGTTGTGTAAGTAGGCTGAACAACAGCTGTCACTATCACCGACGCTTGTGATCTTCGACACCATTTGGATGATTATTTGGGATTTAGATAGTCTGATGAAAAACCATTCGATCTATTTTCATCACAAATGATTGTCAATATACCTTTCCTGTAGATTGAAAGTCGACCATTCTGTTATCTCTTTCCATCGGACACTGGTCGGGTTTACAATATTGTGTTGCTCCTTTAATTTATCGAAGCTGATGTTTTGTTCTACCTTTCTCAGGACGTCTTCGTTGTGATCAAGCTCTAAAAACTTGGCTAACTTAACAACGTTTTCGTATGTGTTCTGAAGCAAACAGTTTGAATTTAAACATGAAGGACGGTCTGAATAACAAACTATCGGAAAACGAATTTAAATAATTTTAAAGTAATGATTGAACACATAATTACTTGAAGAATTGTTACAATGAATACTTATTAAATCGGACTTTGTTATTCATTATATATACATTTGTATTCAATTCAAAACAACATTACATTCTTGAAATCTTCATATGAAAACATAGCAGGTTTTGACTCTTCCATTCTTCCATGTCCTTGATCCAAGAAAATCATGATCCATTTCTCAGGAAGCCTAAATATATATAATCAATAAACAACAGATCGTACAATAAGGACAATTAAGTCGATCTCTTAGTGGCATTATCAGTTGAGGATCTGCACTCATTTACCATACGGTTTTCGTAAATTAATCGGAACGTTAGTTACAAAACTTTATAGACCTCAAGTTAATTCAACTCTTACAATCATGTAATGGATGCATGTTGGAAAAAAAGAAAATATTAACATCTCAACATAACCATTATCCATATTCAAATTTTAGAAAACTAAGGCAAAATATGAAGAAAAGAAAGATTTACACAGAGTCTCCTGAAAAATTACAAGGAGAATAAGGAAAGATGTTCCAGAAAAATAAACGTCTTCTGCTACATCGACCATGTAAATCCTGGTCAATCCCAGTAGGCTATGCTAATGTGGTATTAACAACGGAACCTTCAGGCAAACTAACATGCATCAAACACGTCCAGATTCATAGCTCAAAGAAATAGACTATTTCTTAATGAGATCACTATGACAAATGTATTTTTTTAAACATGTGTTTCTATAATGAAAGTCGTCTGGGCATTATTCTTAAAACTTTTCTCCTACTTCTTCCAAATTTTGCGAAAATATCCCTATCGCCAAGACAGGTTTCATACATCAATGCAATGCGAGTGCATGCGTCTGCGATATGTTTGTGTAGGCCTCCTTGTGATGGCGCGAAAACAGATGCCTTCACACTGTATTACACTACCGAAAGCACGACGCAAAAGGGACACCCATGCGGTCATACCATATTGGGCCAGCCGTTACAATAAGGCAATACTGAGTGATAAACACAAAAGAGACAACTACTATTTTGTTAGGCTCCAAATTAAGCCGCTTCTGACGAATCGTGAAATGGGGTACAACTCTACATAAGGGTTAGACAATGATGGAGTAATAATCTAGAAAAATGTATTTCGATTAAACAAGCCTCTGTTAAGACATAATATAGTGTAAAATATTTCTATACCCTTTTTCCATTGGTGTCCCCGCAACATCTTACCTCGTAGTGTTGCCAGGATATTAGGCCATAAACAAACAGGAGATTATAAGACATTCGTTGATTGACTGTGCAATTTCGTCTAAATCGATTTCCATAGGGCACATGTCCCATTCAAAATGCAATTACATAATTTGAGTTATTATAAAATACATACAAATGAAACACTGAGTAGAAGACATTTATGCACACAAAAATTAGATTTTGAACTGTACCGTTGTGATAGATTCAGTCAAGTAATAAATGCCACGTAACAGATAATATCAATATGTGAATAAAATACTGAAAGAAAATAATTAATACTTATATTCTTCTGAGACAAAACGTTTTAAAAACACGTCAAATGTTCCTTGGTACCAAATATCTTCCATGTCACGCATCATATGATAAACAGAAACCACCAAATTTTAAGGGTTGCGGATTGTGGTAACAACCTTCCCTGTACCAAGCTTCATTTCCTCGGGGAGAAACCGGAATCGAAGGAGAGAGCCAAATGTTCGCGGCGTCTGCATTTCTTCTACAATCGAAATCTCTTGAAACTGAAGCAGAGTTGTTGTGACGTGGTACTTCAAAGTACCGGAGCCCAACATCATCACCGTGTTATAGAGACAGTGAATGCCTAGAAAGATATTTTGCGTATTTTTTTAAAATTGTGAACATTCAACACTTGGATTCGCTCCCATTTTACGGTTCTCTGAGACAACTATGTAAAGAAACAAAGGAAAATAATTGTATAAATATTATAAAAATAGGCACAATATATTGAAAGATGCTTATGATTTGTGTCATCTGTACAATCCTCGGAGACAATCAGATTATGAAAAGCGTTACCTTTTCTGTATATTGGCAGTCGTCCTTCGTCGCAAATTTCTTTCCACCGGTCATTGGATGGTGTTGTTTCTATATGACTTTTTTTTCAGATTGAATATTTTGGGTGACAGATCGCAGAAAGTCTTCGTCACGATTCAATCCTAAAAAAATCGCTATTTTGACCACGTTATCAAATGTATTCTACAGCATATGAGGTTGTATGTAAATACCTATATAAGCAAATTAATGTTGATATAAATACATTAGTAAAGATTAAACATCTGTTTTTTCTTAATGAGATAAATGACGACAGGTTACCGTCTGTGAAGTTGCTTTGGCAACAGACCTTACATCACCTCTAACTCTATGTTTGATGTTTTGCAAAAACCACCTTTCCAAGATGGTTGTGCGAAAGGCGCAGCAATTAGGAGTTTTCCATTCCTCCATGTATTTTATCCAAGTAAACCACGATCCTGCAAAATCTAATTTGAGAGAAAAATGAATTTTGTCTGCATTTACATTAACCTTACGAAACGTTTTTTTTTTTTTTTTTTTTGCTGTTGTCGATTTTTCACATGTTAGAACCTTATTTGTACTGATTAAAATGTATAGCACCTCTCATAAGAAAAATAGATAAGAAGCTCATACGGCTTTCATCGTTCACCTATCTAGGGTCGGTCGCAATTGCTTTATCCACAATAAGGAGTAGAATTTTGGAAGTCGATCAAAATGTTAATGGACAATCAAGTTTTTACTCTATAAAAGTACTTAGCATGAAAGATGTGTGTGGTATTTCTAGGACAGGGGACAGTACCCAAGCAAAACATGGGCGGGAAAACTCAAATGACATACAACTAGGGCCAAATATACTCAACAAAAAAAGAAAGGTGAACATGTTTCCTTGGCGAATACCTGTAAATGAGTGAAAACAAAATGACGTTTGTGCAATATTAGGAAATGGTAATGTTTTACGTTACAAAATCCAAGGGGGT